AATTAAATCCTGCCAAATGTTCTTTTGGTGTGCCTTCCGGAGAATTCCTAGGCTATATAGTCACGGAAAGTGGAATAGAAGCAAATCCTAATCAGATTAACGCTTTCCTTACTATGCCTTCGCCAAGAAACATTAAGGAAGTCCAACGATTGACAGGCAGAATTGCTGCATTAAATCGTTTTATATCGAAGTCTACCGATAAATGTCTCCCTTTTTATCAGATTTTAAAAGGAAACAAAAAATTTCGGTGGGATGATCAATGCGAAGCAGCATTTGGTCAACTCAAAACTTATCTGACAACACCGCCGGTTCTCTCAAAACCTGAATCGGTTTCTAATCATTCTGTAAGTGGGGTTTTAGTTCGAGAGGACCGAGGTGAGCAAAAGCCAATTTTCTACATAAGTAAATCTCTTACTAGTCCAGAAACGAGATATAACATGATGGAGAAATTAGCTTTAGCAGTGGTCGTATCCGCTAGGAAGCTCAGGCCTTATTTCCAATCTCATCCCATAGAAGTACTAACTTCCCATCCGCTTCGCTCAATTCTTCACGGGCCAAGTCAGTCCGGTAGGTTAGCGAAGTGGGTAATCGAACTCAGTGAGTACGATATAGAATACAAAAGTCGAACTAGCGCAAAAGCACATTTCTGGCTGATTTTCTAACCGAACTGCCACTAGATGATGGAATCCCTATTGAGACAGACTCTACATGGAAATTACATGTAGATGGATCTTCTTCTAAACAATGATCCGGAATCGGCATTACGCTCGAAACTATGACAAAGGAAATAATCAAGCAATCATTTCGATTAATGTTTCCAGCTTTGAACAATGAAGCAGAATACGAAGCTCTTTTAGCAGGACTTCGGCTTGCTCTTGCGATGGGAGCAGAAAAAATAATAGCTTATTGTGATTCTCAACTAGTTGTAAACCAGTTCGCTGGAGATTACGAAGCTAAGGCTCCTCGAATAGAAGCTTATCTTTCGGCTGTCAAAAAATTAGCCGGAAAATTCAAAGAATTCGAATTAGTTTGAATACCTAGAGGAGAAAGCACTTCGGCAGATGCTTTAGCTGCCCTAGCTTCTACCTCAGATCCTGAACTCAAACGAGTTATCCCAGTTGAATGTATTTCTTCGCGAAGTATTTCGGTTGAAGAAACAGAAAACGATAACATTTCGGAGGCCGAATACATCGAAACTCCAAAACAAAGTTCCGGAAATAGTTCACTTGTCATCACCAGATCACGAATAAAATCTCAAGATGACGAACTTACTCCACCATTGGAACTTCCTAAAAGAAAGTCAAAAAGAAAGTTAAAGGATCAAGAGGTTCCCATTAAAGAACCGTCTCGAACCGAACAGTCACTTCCAGGTGATGTAGAGGTTCAGGAGACAATCGAAGATCCTGATATTCCTTCCGAACCCGAACCAAGGAAGTTTATACTCAAGGATAATACTTCCGCTAACGATTGGGGGGCTGACTGGAGGGTACCCATCAAAAATTTCATTCTTAATGGAGAACTACCGTCTAACAAATGGCAAGCTCGCAAATTAAAAATCATCAGCGCTAAGTATTGTATAATTAAAGAGTCATTGTACAAGCGAGGCGTCAGTGATCCTTATCTTTTATGTATTTTCGGACCCGAAGTTGAACTAGTGACAAGCGAGGTCCACGAAGGGCTTTGTGGTAGTCATTCTTCGGGACGAGCAATGGCTTTCAAAATCAAACGGTTAGGATATTTCTGGCCAACTATGATTTCAGACTGCATTGATTACGCCAAACGGTGTAAAAAGTGTCATATGCACGCTCCTCTTATTCACCAGCCATCTGAAATTCTATCACATATATATCCGCTCCATACCCTTTCATGAGGTGGTCAATGGATATAATCGGTCCGATGCATCGTTCAACACGAGGCGTCCAATACTTATTAGTTCTAACGGACTATTTTTCCAAATGGATTGAAGCTGAAGCTTATATAAGCATACAAGATTCCGTAGTAAAGACATTTTTGTGGAAACACATTATTTGTCACTATGGAATTCCTTACGAAAGAGTAACGGACAATGGTCCTCAATTCATTTCAAATGATTTTGAAGACTTTTGTTCCGATTGGGGAATAAAACTTAGCTACTCAACGCCGAGGTATCCTCAAGGAAATGGACTAGCGGAAGCCTCCAATAAAACCATTCTCAGCAATCTTAAAAAACGCTTGAATGCTCGAAAAGGTGGATGGTATGACGAGCTGCAACCTGTGTTGTGGGCTTATCGAACAACCCCAAGACGAGCAACGGGTGAAACTCCATTCTTATTAGTTTATGGGAAGGAAGCCGTAGTCCCAGCCGAGCTGAATGTTCCAGGTTTGCGCCGAAGCGAAGCTCCACTTAACGAAGAATCGAATTCTAAATTATTAGAAGACGTTCTCGATACAATCGATGAAAGGCGAGACCAATCCCTTATTCGACTTCAGAATTATCAACAGTTGACCGCACGATACTATAACTCAAAGTTGAAAAACGGACCTTTAAATGTAGGAGACTTTGTTTTAAGGCGAGTGTTCGATAACACAAAAGAAAAAGGAGCTGGAAAACTCGGTATTAACTGGGAAGGCCCTTATCAAATCACTGAAAAAATCCGAAACGGTGTATACCGTTTACAAGACCTTGGTGGAAATCCCGTTCAAAGGCCTTGGAACATAATCAAATTGAAAAAGTTCTATTGCTAAAGCAAACACATTCGAACTACGATTTGGCTTGATCTTATTTTGGGTACGTAGGCAGCTCGCTAGTCACGAGTCCAGCTATAACATAAAAATAAAAATATGATTCCAGTCATGGAGTCCTGTTTTTAAAAATTCGATATTCGAGCATGAATATAAAGATACGTTACGAACAATGTATAAATAAATATTTCTTGCTAAGCTAAGACCGGATCTAGAAGGGTCTTGAATTACGGAACAGCTCTGCTCCTTGACCTGCGAGGTCAATGATGCTAATAATACAACCTGGCATGTTTCCGTACTTCTGAAGTCCTAGTTCGATCCAATCGGAAGGATGGGCTTCGAGGCGATGAAGCTCGCAAGATATATCGAGGCGACGCTTCTCTAGCTGCATTATCCGTTTCCTAATCTTTTTCTTCTCATCTTCAAGCTCGTCACGCCGAGTGATAAGCTGAAGAAAATAAAACGCTACGTTTAGCAATAACAAAAAGAAGTTAATCACTAGGATGGAAAATACCTTATTGATAAACTCCTGAGCCTTAACACGATCTTGAGGCGACAATCTCTCGATTAAAACGATCGGAACCTGAATGCTGGTTCCCTTCTTCAATATTTGTGAATCTTTTGGTTCGCCAGACTCTCCTGCTTTTATAAGCTCGATGTCCGACGTCCTCGAAGGATCAACACTCATCACTTTGAACAAGTCTGAAGGATTCTCTGATGAATTACCTCCCTTGAACATTTTTGTAGAATTGTTGTTGAAATTCAATGATAAACTACACCCATTTTATACTCAAAAATTTATTTGATTGCATTTAAGAGGATTAATTGACGATTTCCCAAATCTGAAATTACGACTTTCATGGAAAATGTAATCGAGTTAATTGCTAATTATATTTCCTAGATTAAACGCATTAAATATGATGAGTTAATCGGCAAATTTAAAGCAAAAGGGGAATGTAATTAATATTGTTGGGCCTCTAACCCAATAGTTTTTTACATAATTAAAAAAAAAACTAAGAAGGAGGGGGGTTCGCAGGAGGAACTTCGTCTGATGGCGAACCGTCTTCGCGTTCGTCGGGTTCGAGGCTCCTTTGGTAGATATCACAATGCTTCTTCAGGAATCTGATGTGTTCTCGAAGACAGCCGGGAATGCGCGCGATAGAATCAAATCCCCTCCTCTCCCAATTGTGAACATCCGACTCCAAACGTCGGATCTTCCTTTCTGTTCTAGCAATCCGGTCCTCGAGGTTACGGCGTTTCATTCCGAGGCGTTGTCTTTCGGAACAGAGGAAAACATATCTTTCCGTGATCTGCAAAGAACATATACATTACGAATCTATCAAGTAAAACCTTGAAACCATTGGTACTTGGTTCAAACCTGCTCCATGAATTCATGGCACTCGATCTGTTCTTCCCTAGACAGGGAAGAAAGAAAACAAGGAATAGCCACCCCTTGTGGAGTGAATCCATCCCCTGTCGGGAAAAGAGATTCGCTTGAAGGGAGTCGTGGTAAATTAGGACCAGAAGGTTCGCCTTGGGGAGATGTCATCGTAGATCCAAAAAGAAGAACTGCAAAGTTTCTTATAAATATCTATTGGAAAATTTCCAAAATCCAACTCTCCTTATATAGAAAAAATATGTAAGGGCACTCACTCGAGTATTTATTGAAAAAAAAAAGTTAAACGTCAATCTATTGATCTGACTGTTATGACCTCTCGATTTTCGTGTATATGCACAAACAAGACCTACGAAATATAGGTTATTCAAGTATCACTTAACACCTAGTAGGTGAACTTAATTTCGAACTCGAAATTCGAAGACAATCAATAAATGGTATCACACCTTTTTATCTCTTAGGGAAAGCAAACAGTTCTCACTAGAGATTTTCCTAATCGAACACATTTGAAATATCGCAAAGTGTTCTTGTAAGCAGAGCTCTAACCTCGCAACCGAGAGACCGAGGAAAAATTCCAATGTTTTTTCTTTAAAAAAGGCAAGTAGGTCTGATCGGCCTATCTCTCCTATAATCCCGAACCACTTCGATTAGGAGGACTTTGCAAACCCTCCACGTAAAATTGATGGTTTCTACCAAGATTAAATATTTCTTTCTAAAGAAATTTTAATCGAAAACCCCCTTGGGCAAATTATTTAAAACAGTAATAGAAGCCCCCTTGGGCAGAAAATTTGGAAAAGAAATAAATGGCCCCATGGCCAACGAAGCGAATTTCATGTCTTTAAATTAAAGGGACAATCCCCATAAAAGGTGAATGCAATCACCATCATTCATTCATAGGCGAACCGCCTTCATCTCCTACTTGGCTTAAGACGAGAGTACCCCCAACGTCAGCGTCTTGAGTTGTGGGAACCACCTCGGGAATGAGCGAGCTAACATCCCGAGGGGGTTCGCTCTTCGATTCAGGGTCGTCTCCCATAACCGAGGAGGTGGCAGGATTCTGACCAGAGAACCCTGAGCTCGTCCCAAGGAGATTCTGTCAACATTAGTTCCGAACTCATTAAAATGAGTGCGAGGAGAACCAGTTAACAGCATCTCATCCAGAGACAAACCAATACTTGGTCCAGTCGGTGGAGGGGAATCGGCGAACTCAGAAGCAAACTGCTGCAAATTCAAATACGGCTGAGGAGCAGTAGCTAGCTTAGCTTCAGTCTCAGCAAGCTCAGCGCCAACTGTTTCCTTTTCTTCAGCCAAGTTGACCTTTCCGTCCTCTATCTCCTTGATCAAATCGAGATTGCTCTTCATCTCATCACGTTCGGAGTTAAGTTTGTTCCAAGCTTTATCTGCAGTAATAAATTCCTGCACAGCAAGGAGAAACTTTTGCCCAGCTCCTTTAACCTCTTTCCGAGCATCGTGAGATATTTTGCGAACATCTCGATCTTTGAGTTCGGAAAGAGATTCATTTTTGCGTTTGAGCTCCTCAGTAGCTGTTTTAACCCTGTCAAGCTCTGATCTCAGAAGCTCAATCTCGCCCTTTGCGAGGTTATGGTTAGCAAGGGCAGTCTCTAGTCTCTGTTTGGTTTCGATTAAAATCTTCCTTGTCTCCTCGCCAGATCTCTCGAGTTGTTCGATTTTCTCCTGGCGAGCCGCATCAAGTCCAACAGTCTCTTGCACGAGCTGACTGGAAGAAAATTCGAAATTAGTTGTCGAAGGGTGCAAATAGTCAAACCTGGGAGGAGTGGAATGAATGGCTAACATACATCTTCTTGATATCAGGCTTCCACCACTCAAAGGATGGGAGTTTCTTCCCAAAGCGGGTGTGGAAGCACCTAAACATGTTCCCAATCTTCTCTTTGTCTAGAATAAAGATAGTTATTTGAGGATTGAGCTTCTTAAGAAGTCGATTGATCTCAAGTAACAATAGGATAATTAAAGGTTACCTGATTGGGATGAAGCTCTGGCAACAAGTCCCGAGCTCAGAGACGATCGAACCCTAGAAGTATTGCCTCGGGGTAGTCTAGGGGGTAACATCTCCAAACCCAGCAGCTCTTTTAAAACGATTCCTGAATCAGGATTTACATCCTGAGTTTCAGCAGATTCAGGAATAGGCAGATTCGAAGAAGCGTTTCTGCCCTTCCTTGTGTTTTTGGGACGCCCCTGGAGCAGGGGTTCAAGTTCCTCGGCCTTCCTCTTTTTCATGAGAGAAAAATCACCTGTAAGGAATTCTTCCTCAGCGGTGGCAGCGACCACGTTGTCTGCTGCTGGGATGGGGGAGGGAGCGCTGTTCACAGCGACCGCCATTGACTTTGAACCTTCAAGAGATCCATCGTCAACAAGGAGAGTTTTCCGGTAGACTTTGTCGTCCCCGGTGGAAGTTGCATTTTTCTTGTTTTTCCCGACTAGAGAAATCTGATCTTTAACCTTTTTGTTTGCCTCTTTGATCTTTCTCCTGTCTCGGGCATTTAGACTCGAGAGATCAATCTCAGCAGGAGGAGGGTCGACGGGGCGAGTAAGTGTCATTCTGACAGAAAACCCGGCGCTGTGACTTATTTCCAGAGTAAAAGAATTCCAATTAACTGGCCTCTCCAAGACGGCCTTGTAAAAATTGAGAAAATCGATGGATGGAACTGGTCGAACCTGAGGACCTGCGAGAAAACAAAGAAATGTTGAAACGCATTTTGAAATAACAAAGGGAGCTTATTCAGTTAAGTCCCAATTTCCACCCAAATTCGATGACCAGTGAGTTCGAGGGAGTTCGGAAGAACTCTGAATAGAAAATTTATTTATGCGGAAGAAGAACCAAAACTTCCTCCAGGCGGTGTCCTTTAAAGGCATGCCATCAATGAGATTCCGATCCGCGTTTGGATAAAGGGCATAATACCCAGAAGTTCGGGATTCGCGAGCTTGGAAAAGCTCCAGAGTTCGCAAAGTCCCAATGAGTAGCCCGCCTCCTCCGCAATAGTGAGGGTACACAAAAGATACCGGAGCATGTTGGGCGACATCTAGGAGAAAGCAATAAGCCGCACCCTTTGAAATAAATTTCATAGGCACAGCAGTAACCTTCTTGCCCCGACTCCGGAGACTCGAAGGGCGCCGGGACTACCATCTCTACCTCAGGAGGGATGAGACATAATCTACGAAGATCGTTGAGAGAATCGATAGTTGATTCACTCTGGGGGTGAAGATCAAACCCATCTCCGGTTTGAATCTGGGGTCCGGACCCTTCACCCATGAGAGCTTCGAGATCGTCAGCCTCGTATTTGCGGAATTCGGAAGAAAGGTTCGACATTTTACGAAAGGGATTTTTTACCAGAAAGAAAACAGTGACTTCTGTAATAAGAATGAAGGTTTTCTAGGTAAAGAAGATAAAATGGAAAAGTAATATTACCTCTTAGAACCCTAAAGTATGATGAAAGACCGCCTCGAGAATATTGGGAAGTGGGACGGTTTTCCCCGTGGTATTAATATAAAATTAGAAAATTAGTGATGACGGTTGTCAGGGATATCAAATCATTTGATTATCCGAGAACGGCGTAATAGCGTAAAACATGGAATAATTCCGGAATGTTAAAGATCTTGAGTCATTAATTACTATTTACTTAAGTCTTCCAAGCCGAGCACTCAGCTCGCAAGACTTGGGGGGCTAAATGTTGGGGTCGGATACCACACATCTTCGGTAGGATCCACTTGGATCTGTCCACGTCATTATTACATAATAATCCTCTTGGATTTCTAGATGTTTCATTGCGAGAATCGAGCTCGACCTGTCGGAAGTTCGATTCAGTTTATTAAAGAGCTCGATCTTTACCAGTACGGAGTTCGCTCTTATTCAACATACGGTTCGCATAAAGGAAGGCCGAAGAGAAGAGAATATTGTTCGAGGTTCTCGGCAGCGTCAAGACGCAGGAGTTCGGAGTCAACAAGAAAGAGTTCAGAAGATCCACGCGAAGCCCAAGATAGTTCAAATTCAAGCCGTTTCGGTCAAATTGTAACCTATATAATTAATGCGGATCAATGCGATTATGAGCAGTAAATGACCGCATTGATCATGTTTTCTCTATAAAAACAACCTCAAACGCATGTGTTTGAGGAAGAACAACCTTTGACCTCTTACGATCAAGCAATACAACATATTCTTTCTTTTACAATTTCGCAAGGCTTTTTTACTATTTTATTCTTGCCAAACTCTTTTGCTTTATTTAGTTTCTTGGTTACTTTCCTTTTCAAATCCTTATTTTCATTTGTTGATTTTAGAGTTTTTCTCCACAAAAATACTTAAAGACAATCGAGTGTGAATTCTACATCCACAGGAATCATCTATTTATTAATTTTTAAAGCAACGAATTGTTATAGAAACAAATTGATTAATTACAATCTTTTGAAACAAAGTTTTCGATAAGAATATTTCCAATGTTGTAAACCACATAACGGATGGACTCCATAACCGTGGCCCATGTCCATGTTCTAGAAGGCCCATGTCTAGCTTCTAGAAGACTCGCCCAACCGACCAAGGCCAAAGACGGTTTATGTTAGTCTTAGTGGGCTTTAGTGTTTCCTAGTCCAATTGGGATTTGTCTCCCCTATTGTGTATATATATAAGTTGTAACCTCATTCATTAATAAATAAGAATACACGAGATTTATAACAAGTTATCAGCACGACTTGCTCTTAACGATCCCTAACCCTAATTCGAAAAATCCTTCACACAAAACCTAAGTCCGCCTCGCTCATAAGCTTATGATCGGATCAATAGGTGCTCGCGATTCCTCCAAGATCCCAACGTTCGTGATCAAGCTCGAAAACAGAGGTCTTTAGCTCCCGGTTCATATCCGTACAACCCCATAAGGTGAAAGGTAAAATCCAAAACCCTAAAACCTAAAAACCAACATCGAACTTGAACCTAAAGAAATCGCAACCCTAAAAATCGGATATTGTTTGAATCAAAGTGTTTGCTATTGCTTGCTTTGCTCGCTTGTTCTTAGGAGAGTTCTTGATTCAAAACCTAAATCGTATTATTGAAAGAAACTTAAATCGAATCGAAACCCTAAAATTCGAAGTTAATAAATCCGATTGATTAAGGTTGCTTAGGTTGTTTAGATTGATTGTTTCTATGATTGGTTGCATGCATAAATTGTTAGAAATAAAACCCTCATATCATATGAACCCTAGAAACCAAAACTCTAGAGAAAGCTTAATCCTAAATAAAATAGGAAAACCTAAGTAAAAAGAAAAACCCTAAAAAAAAATCGAAAATCCTAATCAAAATAGAAATTTCTAAATCCTAAATCCTATTTGAAATTGGAAAATCTAAAAAACCCTAAGTCCTATTCTAAATAGGAAAATCTTAAATCCTATTGTAAATAGGAAAATCCTTAATTCTATTCAAAATAGAAAATCTCTAAACCCTAATTAAAATAGGAAATCATAAATACTAATCAATATAGGAAAACCCTAATCCTAAGCAAAAGAGGAAATTTAATCCTAAAAGGAAAAGTCAAATCCCTAAGTAAAATCGATTCATGGTTCGGTCTTAAATACCGCATGACATTAACGATTACATGATTTTGACTTAAACCTCTTTGCTTGTAGATGTCGAATTACAACTTGTATTTTACTGCCCTAAATCTCTTAGGAGATAATTATTTGAAATGGACAATGGATACTAAGATTATCCTAAAGTCAAAAGGACTTGGTGAATGTATCACATATGGCAATAATGTCAAGAGAGAAAGATAGATACAAGGCAATTTTAGCCACCATCTTATTGAGAGTCTCAGAATCTAGGACTATAAGTCTGTGGATGAGTATATTGCTAGTTGAGCAAAATAATGACTTACTGAAGGGAAAAAGTAAATTAAGACCTCATAGATTAACCCCATTACTTGATGCCAATAAGGCCGCAGAGGATAAGAAAAAAAAATTCCAAAGAATCTAACCACGTCCAGAATGATAGACCACACGGCCGTGGCCGTGGTGGATGGAAAGGACGTGGTCGTTGCCACTATAATTCATCCGGCCGTGGGAACCACTATAACCGTGGTTGTGAGCCCAATTTTGGCCGTGGTCGAGGGCGAGGACGCTGTGATATTTCCAAACCACAACAGTCGACCAAATAAGTGTGCCATAGATATGGAATGGGGAACCATTGGGCTAAGATATGTAGGACTTCCAAACATCATTGTAACCTCTATCAAGAGAGTGTGAAAGGAAGAATCCTAAAGCCCATTTGGTATATATAAAGATGGTGAAAATAATTTTGAACATGATCAAGATGATCTAATGGAGTATAAAACTTCTGATTGCCTAAAAGAATCAAGTTTGTAAATCTGATTTCGACATCAAAACCTTTGGGTGTTCTTTGCCGTTTTATGTGTTCATTAATTGTTATTTCCTTGAATTTATTTTATATTACTTTAGGTTTAAAACATGATTCTTGTCCATATAAGAAATGACTAAGGACAAGAAGATACTTGTGGTTGATATTGGATCAAGCCACATGATCTTAAAAGACAAGAGATATTTTCTAAATCTCATAATGAAAAATGCCAATATTAGCACTATAGCGGGTATAGCAAGTCTTATTGAGGGCTACGGCCAAGCCCATGTTCTATTACCAAATGGCACGCATCTTGAACTAAGCGATGCCTTGTATTCACCCAGCTCAAAAAGGAGCTTATTGAGTTTTGAAGATATAAGATTGAATTGTTTCCATATTGAAACAAAGGGTGAAGGGAACAAAGAATTCCTAAATATAATTGAGATCACCAAAGGACATAAGAAAGTCCTAGAGACTATACCCGCATTATCCACTGGTCTCTACTATGCTAAAACTGATATGATCGAAGCTAATATGGCAATGAACAAAGAGTTCATCGAGAAATTCACTTTATGGCATGACCGGCTTGGCCATCCGGGTCATAGTATGATGCGTAAATTAATAACTAATTCAAAGGGGCACACCCTAAGAGAGAAAACAGTTATCCCTAAGAATCTCACGTGTGAAGCATGTTCACAAGGGAAACTCATTATAAGGCCATCACCGGCAAAAGTTAATAAAGAAACCTTAAACTTTCTGGAAAAGATACAAGGGGATATATGTGGACCAATACACCCACCATGTGGGACATTTAGATATTTCATGGTCCTCATTGATGCATCGACAAGATGGTCGCATGTGTGCTTATTATCCTCTAGAAACCAAGCGTTTGCTAGGTTGTTGGCCCAGATTATAAGACTGAGAGCCCATTTTCCAGATTTTCCGCTTAAGACTATACGTCTAGATAATGCCGGTGAATTTACGTCCCAAGCGTTTAATGACTACTGTATGTCCATGGGGGTAAGTGTGGAACATCTCGTGGCACATGTACATACTCAGAACGGATTAGCGGAATCCTTCATTAAACGAATTCAATTGATAGCTCGACCATTACTCATGAGGTCGAAGCTTCCAGTAGCCGCTTGGGGACATGCTGTTTTACATGCATCAGAGCTTATACGCATAAGGCCATCTAGTGAACATAAATATTCACCATCCCAATTACTAAAGGGTCATGAGCCAGACATATCCCATCTTAAGACATTCGGGTGTGCCGTATATGTACCGATTACACCACCACATAGAACAAAGATGGGACCTCAAAGGAGATGGGAATATATGTTGAATTTGATTCTCCCACCATTATTAAGTATCTAGAGCCAACTACGGGTGATCTATTTAAGGCTAGATACGCGGATTGTCATTTTAATGAATCCGAGTTTCCTACTTTAGGTGGAGAGACGAACAAGCTGGGTAAGCAATAAAAGAAATATCATGGAATCAAACATCCTTAAATTGGCAAGATCCTCGGACTCTGGCATGAGAATCAGAGGTCCATAAGATTATACATTTGAAAAGCTAGCTAATCAATTGTCAGATTCCTTTGCTAGTTACAAAATCGTACATACCAGCTTGTAATGCACCAGTACGAATTGATGTCCAAAAGGGACTTAGTCAAGTTGCTACAGAGTCTAGACAACGTATGAGACGTGGTAGACCATTAAGGTTCCAATGATAAAAAATCCTCGGAAATTAAAGAAATGTGCAATAGGAACCGAGGTTATTAAGGAAACCATCCCAGACATGGAGATAAGGCCGGCCGGCTCTAAGGTACAAGTACCAAACAATGTAGCTTGGGACGCCAAGCTGCAAAGTGTTAAAGGTCTTGATAATAATTAATCTCAATCGATTATATCATGTCTGGAACATAATGGAACCCATAAGGAATGTCGACATAAGATGATTTATTTACA